GGAGTATGGAAACTGACTCTCTTGAAACTGGACATGACGAGAGATGTATACACGACCCGTGGAGAGATCAAAACAGCGATATCCTTTTGACGAGGAGTCGTACCCAAGGAAGACACAGGGTTTGGACCGTGGTTGGAATTTATTTGTGATTTCATGACGTAGACACGGATAAGCCAAACACCCAAAAACCCGGAGAAGACTGTAGTCTGGGGCTTTGTGATCAGGAAATTTGCAGTAGCCAGCGCCTCAACCCAAAATTTTGCTGGGAGATTGGCTGTGCAAAGAAGTGTGACAAGAGTTTCAACCAAGTGACAGTGCTTTCTTTCAGCGACACCATTTTGTTCAGGAGTGTAAGGACAAGATTTTTGATGAAGAACCCCCAAATTTTGTAAAAACAGACCAAACTTTTTATTGACATATTCCCTCCCATTATCTGTGCGAAACAACTTATGTCGTGCATTGAACTGAGTTTGAACCATAGATTGGAAACTAAGAAAAGCATTAAATGCATCAGATATATTTTTAAGAGGGTACAACCAGCAAAACTTGGTATAATCATCAATAAAATTAATATAAAAATAATAACCTCCAAAGGAGGGTACAGAAGTAGGTCCCCATACATCAGAGTGAACAAGCTCAAAAGGAGCAGAAGTTTTAGTTTCAGACACAGGGAAGGGGAGTTTATGAGACTTAGCAATACAACAAGAATTACAGTGATCAAGATGCTGAAATTTAAAACCTAATTGAGACAATAAAGACTTAGTGACTGAAACTGAGGGATGACCAAGACGACAGTGCCATTGAAATGGAGTGACTTTGACAGAGTTGACCACCAGAGACGAGGGAGATGCCGGTATGGAGTACAGACCACGCTCACAAGGGCCTTTGAAAAGAACTTGGTTGGTGAGATTGTCCCAAATCGTAAAATCCTTAGAGGTAAAAAGAAGAGAACAATTGATATCTTTAGTAAATTGATGGACTGAAAGCAGATGGGAGTTAATGTGAGGGGAATGGAGAAGGTTGGTTAAGGTAAAAGTGTGGATAGGGGTGGTGAGTATACCTGAGCCTGTATGGTCAATGGGATAGGTGTTACCTCCTGCAGTTGTGATGGAATTGGTGCCATGGTACGGTGTCAAAGTATGCAGCCGAGACAGATCAGGCGTAACATGGGTGTTTGCGCCAGTGTCCAGATGCCAGTTCGAACTAGATTCAGCAGATTGATTTGCATAAAACGCCTGCGGAGGACCAGCATATGATTCATCGTAGCGGTGCCAACAATTCCAGACCGCATGGCCAGGCTTCCCACAGAGTTGGCACGTGATGGACCCCCGGCCACCTCCTCTGCCGCGTGCGTCGTCGCGGTACTGCGGCTGCCGGCCGCCTCTGCCGCCGGGCTGACTGCCGCGGTAAGGCCCTCCTCGGCCTCGCTGTGGTCCACGGCCACGACCCCGACCATTGCCTCGTCCGGAGTTGGTGTAGAGAGCAGTATGAATGTCAACAGACGAAGTAGAGCCGGAATCACCAAGAGACAATTTTTTCTCAAAAGATAAATTCAATTCTTCAGACAACAACCAAGAGGAGACCTGATTAAAAGTGACGGTGGCAATATTGGTGCGAATATTTTGCTTGAGGGAGGCATAGTCGGCCGGTAGACCTCGTAGAACACAAAGGATAATATCTTGTTCAGAGATTTCTTCATGAGCCAGTTTGAAAGACGACACAATAGTGAGAACCGTGTCCAAATAGGATTGCATCGAATCGGTCCCCTTAGTAACACCATGGAGACGCTCCTTCAACTGAAATATATGAGTTCGTGAAAGAGAGTTGTACCGTTGTTCTAGATGATTCCAAATTGCAAGCGAGGTGGGAAGAGCATGAATATGTGTCTGAACCGTAGGTGAGACAATAGCA